TATATATATATATATATATATATATATATATATATATATATATATATATATATATATATATTTGACGATATATATATATATATATATATATATATTTTTGGTTTTCGTCCGGTGCCGACGATCATCACGATTTAGCGATGGCATTATGAACCGAAAGATGGGCAGCAAACATATCCTGCGTCGAACCGTTGCCCATCCAATCCTGCGTGGAACTGCTGCCCAGAGGAACCGTTGAGGATCGGGGGTCGTCGCCGTCGTCGTCACTCGGAGGCAACGGAATCTCGTGGGACGGCAGATAGTTGTATAGCGTTGGGTCGTACGACCGCCTGCCGCCTTCCGCACTGCTGCAACGCTGACGTGACGACCCCCCAATGTGGTGTTTATCTGTAGCTTCTCCATCTTCCTGGCCTCCCAGGGACACGACCGAGGAAGCAGATATGAAAGACGACAACGGCAAGCAGCAGCACAACGACGAACAGCAGCAAAGGCAGCCTGCGTTACAGGTCAACCATGAACGACAGGGCAGCCGAGACGGAACGCGCACTTGCGCTGTCGCAATCACGGCAACCGGAGACACACGTTGCGAGAGCGAAGACGCCAACGTACGAAATTGCTGCAAGCACCGGCTGGGGGAGGACGCTTACAAAATCCGTACTTTCGACTGTTGGGAAGCCCGCGGGAACGCCAGGACCCCTCCAGAAGCCGGCCGAAGACGTCCGATGCTCGCCACGGCACCACCGTGGGGCCGCCCGACGAACTGATAGGGCCGTACCGCCAATCACCGCCAACGGTAAGACGACGAGGCCGTTGGTGGACGTTTTGGACGAGGACGGCCTGCGATGTCCGTCTTCCGGCCGGTGGACCACCACTGGACCACCTTCGACCTCCATTTTCCCTTCTGGACTCGCCGCTGACACCCCGATAATCGCGGATCCTCGGGCTCCGAAGGACCTCGCAAGGTCCCTTGGAGCTGAGGATGATTTGGCTGGAAAATCCTCGGAGCCCGAGGATTTGTCCTCGGAGTGTTTTCACATTTATGTTTCGAAAATCGGCTCCGAGGACAGGTGGAACGATGACGGAATCCTCGGAATCGTGTCCCCGAGGAGTGTCGAACGACGCCCTAAGTGTCACTGTGATCAGGGTTACAATCCTCTGAGGAAACACAGCTCGAGCAGATAAAGGATTCAGATTGTCAGATTCCAGAAACAGAAAACCAGGAAAAAAAAACGGAAACACGGATTTGGCCGTGAAAATGGCTGGATACATTCAAGTGCCAGTGTGATCAGGGTTTACAATCCTCTGAGGAAACACAGCTAGAGCAGATCACGGATTCCGCCCTGCCTCTTTGGCAGGGGACTCGTAACAAACAAACCAGAAAGAAGAAAAAGAAAACAACAAGTTTCAGAATGTGACCGTCTTTGCTGTAAGATGCATTCTGTAGAGGAAGACTGTCCGACATCATTGCAGTACAGAAAAGTTTTTTTTTTTCCCCCTTGTCCTTTCACGCACGGGCAAAAGAAAACTAAGATTTATGGGACTTGCCGACCCTGGGTCCCACCCCCAAATTTTTCTTCGGGCACAGGCTAAAAGTTGTAATTTCCCAACACTGGCAGAGGTACTAGTGGAGAAAAGAACTCTTAGGTCATGCTCACACCTAGTAGGACTTGGCCTGGACCCACTAGCGAAGATGTGTGACGCAATTTTATGGCTTTTTGGAAAAGACAAAGTGAATTTTTATTTTCATAAATGGATTGCTTTCTAATTTAAAATGAATTGATATGGAACATAAAACAAAGAAGAACAGCTGTGCACCCCAATTCATGGGTAGGTAGGATCTCCTTCCACGAACACAGCCACGAGGATGAACAAGTAACGGGTATGGGGATACATTCATCACCATGTATCTCATGAGGCCTCTAACAGGCCATCCGACAGACGCGGAGGCGTTCCTGTCAGATCCCCCACAATACTTAAATTTCAGATTTCAAGTTCGATTTCTCAGAGCCAAAAAAAAAAAAAAAAAAACGACGTCTGGAAATCAACGCCCCCCCTTTCGGGTCCATAAAATCCAGACTTCTCGCCCGCGCAAAGCCATGAGCTATCATGTCCACGTTTGTTTTTCTTTTTTTTTTGGACGCATCTCATTGGACGGAGGTGGGCATCTTTACATCCCCCGCTCGGAAACTACCAGGTCATCGAGATCCGATGCATTCGACGGCTGTACTATGTCACTCGAGGCCACACGTGATCGAAATCCTGAACAGAGTGGTAGAATACTTCGCTACTGGGTCCAGGCCCCTGGATCTGAAAAGCCCCCCCCCCCCCCCCTGTGCCAGAGAAAAAGCAAAAAAAAGAAAATACACAAGGACTTTCCTGGATCTGTCTGACCACAATTACGGCTGCCCTAGGAATCTAGGATACATCTGACGCAAATTATTTCGAGAAAATACACAAGGACTTTCCCGGGTAACAGTACGACCCACAGGGCCCGAGTGTGAGTACGTATGCCAGCTATAGATATGGAATGCCACCTCAATGAAGTCTCTGAGAGGAGCTAGTGTGAAGTCAGAGAGTTGACAGTATCTCGGCTATGCATGATGATATCCGGATTCGATCTGATTGGTTGGTTCATTTAATGGGGTCAGTTAGAGTAAGGCACTGTCCAGGGTGGGGTCAGTTGAAGCGAGGGACAGTCCACGGTGGGGAAACTATGTGGCAGCACGAGGATTTCTACCTTTTCTTTTTTTACAAGAAAAAGTCAAAAACATGCTCTTACCAGCACCCCTATCATTCTCTCGGGTTAAAAAAAAAAAAAAAAAAAAAAAAAAAAAAAAAAAAAAACATAATTGCCGATATCCCTTTTTTTTTCCCCCTTCTTTCCTTTCCTTCTTTGAAATCTCCCTTTTTGTTTTAACCATCAGGACATTCTAGGTGGTCGTTGGTGTCTTTTTTTGTTTTCTTGTTTGAGATAATTTGTGAAATACCCCCATAAGTTTAGATACATGCCAAAATGCCCCTGAAAGGTGTGGATAGAGCAGAATGCCGCTCGGACGAGAGACATCTCTTGTGAAATACCCCTGGCATCGGTTGGAGCCCCCGTCTTTGCAATATGCCGCTACCTGGTACTGTCCAACTTTGCAGAATGCCGCAGTACTTGCCACCTTTTCCAAGGCCCAATTGCGAAGTGCCCAGACCCAAACAGGGAGGTCCAGATCGCAAATTTGTGCATTGGCCTGACAGGGGCATAACTCAAAGAACTCGGCCCAAAAGGGCATTCCGCTCTGTCCACATATTTCAGGGGCATTTTGGCATATATCTCAACTTATGGGGGTATTTTGGAAATCGTACTTTTTTCTGGTGTCATTTTTTATTTTATTTTTTTTTTTGCGCATTTTTTTTTTTTTTTTTTGAGAAGAACACAATTCATATTCATATATCCAGGAAACGGACCCGGTGTCCCTTACATCATTTGCTGCGGTCAAACGGGGTAATTTTGCGCAATGTGTGAGGAGACCTCTCCTGGGGCCTGGACCCACTAGCAAAGTATTCTGGTTTTTTTTTTTTTTTTTTGGGAGTAGCAAAGTATTCTGCGATGTGTGACGCAATTTTATGGTTTTTTGGAAAGGACAAAGTGATTTTTTCTTGCATGAATGGGTCGTTTTCTGATTTAAAATGAATTGAAATGGCTTCTCGGCCTCCCGTGCCCCTCCGCAGCCTGGGCACCACTCTAGAGGCACATATGATATTACATCAACGGTGAACAGAACAGAACCCTTGGAAGATCAGCTGCACAGTTAACCCTCCGGCTTGCGGGAGCAGTCAATGCTGGCAGCCAAGACCTTATTGTTATGTTTTCTCATTCTTGTATCTTTCTAAATCAGGGACGCCGGAGCCATTTTCCAGCAGGTGAGGCTCCCCACCAATAGACTGGAGCAAATTCCAAAAAAAAAAAAAAGAAGAAGAAATGGCTCATAAAACAGAGAACAACAGCTGTGCACCTGAATTCATGGGTTGGTACGATCTCCTTCACGTAAGTCTTCATAGTGATGTATGGTGGCAATAAAATGTGTCCACGAACACAGGCACAAGGATGAACAAGTAACGGGTATGGGG